GAACATCAAAATCGAGAACATTAAATACCTGAATAATGAGAGTTATAAATACCTGGGGGGTACGAGCAACAACTTGTAATTAATAAGAAAGAAACTAAAAAACATCTTACACAAACACTCGAGAAAAGAACGAAACAAATACTGCGACAAAAAACAAAATAAAAGCAATTAATGCATGAAATTTCTACAATTGATTGATTATATCATATTTCTCTGGAGTAATCGGTTGGTGAAACATGAAGTAAGAGGTTCTTAATCGATCGATTTGTATGCAAATGACAAAATACTTAATTCACCATCCAAAAGCTTTTACAGAAAGGCTCTAAATTTCCCGGAAAATGGGAGGCCGGGAACTGTAAGATATAAAGATACTTTATCAAAAGCAAATAAATAAACACGAAAAAATACTTAAGAGATAAATCCTTAAGTTTTCCACTTCATCGAGTCGTAACTCAATTGGATAACTACTCCCCAGTCAAACTCAAAGAAGAAAGTTCAGCACTTCCTGATCTCAGCAATCAAAAAGTGAATACTCAACTGAATGGTGTTTTAATCGTCAATTGTATGTTGAAATCAGCATAATCGTACGGCTCCTGTAAAAAGCACGACTGGTTAACTTTCGGCGGATCGCTGATGCTTCTAGGCAAACAATTTCTTTATAAGATGAACAAAACCACGATGAGGAACTATTGACTAATTACCTTGAGCTGTCCTTGTTCAGAAATATTGCCAACCCTCTGAGGATTGGTAAGACGAATGATCTGGTCCTCATTACTGCTGTAAGATTATGTGCTTTTATTTGTCTACATATCATGGTTACCACGTGTTTTGTTTGGTATAACTATTTCCATAAATGTATAAAGGGTTTCAGGAATGAGTTCTGTATCTGTAACGTGTGGAGGGTGGGTTACCCCTACGGCACTTAGGCCTCATTAGGCCCATTGTGCATCCTCCTAAGATGATAGGCACCTCCTAGCTCGTCAGCCAGCCTACAGATTTAATGTAGTTGACAACGTCGCCAAGAGGTGCTTCTCTTATATCGGCCGGTGTTAGCCGATACTCGCTGAACACAAATCTTCTAATAAATGAGTGCGTCGGGCAATCGTAAAGGATATGCTCGATGGTCTCATCTTCTTGTTCGCACCCTCTGCAGAGTGCCGATTCTGACAGCCCCATGATATGGAGATGCTTCCGTACTTGGCAATGACCAGTCAGAATGCCTGTGACCAGACGCATATTCTGTCTACTCATAGTTAAGTATTTGTTTGCTGCAGTGTTGTCAGGATAACTTAAGAGCTCCCTGGAAACTCTGCAGTTTCTTGTTTCATCCCATCTTTCCTTGAATTTCACAAGGGAATGTTCTTTAATTAGGTCTGTCACTACCAATTTTGTCAGGCCAATAGAAGGGCCAGGTCCAAAAAGTATTTGGTTGGCTGCTTACTTGGCTAGTGAATCGGCAAGACGGTTACCTTTCGATGTGGCGTGACCTTTGATCCATCTTAAGGTGACCACATTGTTGATGGATACTTCGGCAAAAGCTTCATGACATTCTAGTACTAACCCTAAATAAATTCGTGGTCTGTTCAGGGCGAGTAGTGCTTGTCTGCTATCTGTATAGATGAGCATGTTCCTTCCAGTAATATTATTTCTGGTTATTTCTTTTGCTGCTATGAGAATCCCCGTTTGCTCTGTTTGAACTACACTGGCACTATTGCTCACAGCCCATTTTATGTTTAGGTTTAAGAATCTGGAGTATATTCCGCATCCTGAGCCTTGTTTTGTTTTAGAACCGTCGGTGTAGATATGAATCGTACCTGCCACTTCTGGCTCTTCTATTTGTTCTATTATAACTTTATATGGCTTATGGTGAGGTGAGATTTGTAAGTATCCCAGTCCTATTTGAGTTATGTGGTTCTTGCCTTATTAAAGGATTTCCTAGCCATCTTCCTGAGGTGATCCAACTCGTAACACCACCATGCGGTAGTCGTCTAATCGTGGTGGACCAGCCTCAGGGGACAAGATTTCTTATAGGCATTGTTTATTGTGCTTTGGATACTTTTTGAGTACTTCTCCAAAGCATTGTTATTGTTTGGTGTTTCGGCATCCATCTCTCTCAGGGCCTCTTAGAGAAGGTGGGCATAGATTGCCCTGTCCGTCTTCCTAGGGTTCCGAGATAGCGTGGATATCGGCAACATCAAGTTTATTTTGAATGTTAACCAGCGGTGGTCTGACATCGAAATGTTATCAGAAACTTGCCAGTTTAGAATTGATTTATAGATACCAGTTGTGGATAAAGTGATATTTATTAGTGTTTGACTGCGAGAGTTTAGAAATGTTGGTGTAGTACCTTTATTTAAAATGCAAAGTTTTTTGGTAATTATATAATCATAAAGTGACTTACTCTAGCGTTATTATCCTTACTGCCCCAACTGAAGTGATGAGCATTTGAGTCGCAACCTATTACCAGCTCAAACTTCTGTTCCAGGCAGTATGCAATCAGATCCTCCATTTCTTTGCTGGGTGGTGGCGTAGTTGCATCGGAAGGGAGGTATGCAGATGCCAGGATTAACGTTTTCTTTTCCTTTTTGATGGCGAATACGCCATCAGGAATGAGTTACTCATTTTAGTCCGAAAACTTATCGTGTGGGGTTATTATTATTATATCTTTTAAAAGTTATATTGGACTGACAACATCGGTAGTGACAAATATAATTAATAACATTCCCTAATGAAATTCAAGGAAAGATGGAATGAAACAAGAAGTGCAGACTTGCCAGGAAGCCCTTAAGTTATCCTAACTTCACTACAGCAAACAAATACTTGACTATGACTAGACAGAATCTGCGCCTGATCACAGGCATTCTGACTGGACATTGCCAACCAAGAAAGCATCTTCATATCATGGGGCTGTCAGAAATGCACTCTGTAGGGGGTGCGAATAAGAAGATGATACCATAGAGCATATCCTCTACGATTACCCGACGCTCTCATTAATTAGAAGATTTGTGTTCGGCTGCAATTGGCGAACACCAACCGATATAAGAGAAGCACTTCTTGGCTACGTTGTCACTACATTAAATCTGTAGGATGACGCACGAACTAGGAGGTGCCTATCTAGTTAGGAGAATGCACAATAGGCCTAGTGAGGTCTAAGTGCTGAGATGTAATCTACCCTCCACAAGTTACAAAGAATAAATCAATTACCATAAGTAAAAGTATGGTTCTAGACACGTATTTCTGTCATAAGTAAACAAGTTTCTCAAAATAAGGTTTTTTAATAACCCCTAGTAAACAGTTAACTTAGGCACATGCTTGTCTACGACAAATGAATAATGTTTCTAAAACGGCTTTAATAACCTTTAACGGCCGTATTCACCAACAGAAGTTAACAGGCTAACAGACTGTTAAGTAGCTTATCAGTCAGTTAAATTATTTTTTGGTATTCACCGACCATATTTTACGGCTATCAGAGAGTTAAAGTTAACTGCTTGAATTTGAGCAGTTAAGTACTTAACTCCCTGATGCCTTATGACATATGACAGTAAATTATTGTCATTTATTGTTTTTGTTGAGTGTTGTAAATTATTAAAAAGTTATCAAAAATAAGTTAAAGATTTATAAAAATATATTTTTAATATGGAAAGAATAGACTTTCATAATTTATTATCGTCTTCATCAGAAAGTGAAGACGACATTCCACGACGACCCAGAGTAATAAAACCTCGAAATAATTTGTTAGACCTAGACGATATTGAATTTAAAAAAAGGTTTAGAATAAATAAAGATACTTTGCACAAACTTATTGAATTGGTGGAAATAGAAGAACCAGTGAACAATAAAAATATTCCAATCTCGAAAACAAACCAGATATTAATTTGTTTAAGGTTTTATGCCACAAGCAGTTTCCAAATAAACATTGGTGACCATTTTAATGTTTCTCAGTCAACTGTATCGAGAATTGTGACCAAAGTAACAAGATATATAGCTGCATTGCGTCCACAATTTGTTAAAATGCCCATAATAGAAGAGGGAAAAAGAGAAAATGTTTTAGAGTTTTTTAATATTGGAGGACTGCCCGGAATAATTGGAGCTCTCGATTGCTCACACATTAAAATACAATCGCCTGAAGGAAATGTACCAGAAGTGTACAGAAATAGAAAGGGTTGGTTCAGTATTAATATTCAAGTTGTTTGTGATGCTAATCTTAAAATTAATGATGTAGTAGCTCGATGGCCTGGATCTGTTCATGATTCAACTATTTTTAATGATTCTCACATAAGAAGACGGTTTGAAAACAATGAATTTTCCCCATTCAGTCTTGTTGGAGATGGAGGATATGCATGCAAGGCATATTTACTGACACCTTTAGCAACTCCACAGACTCTACCAGAGCAGCGTTATAACAGAGCTCAAATTTCAACAAGAAATCCAGTAGAAAGATTGTTTGGTGTCTGTAAAAGAAGATTTCCTTGTTTATCAATGGGCATGAGAGTTGATAAAGAGCTGGTATGCCAAATAATTGTTGCAGTAGCTGTTTTGCATAACCTCTGCTTGGAAGAAAAAGACGATATAGATGAGCAGCTGATTGCAGAACATGATTGGGAAGAAATAGGAGTTGTCCCTTATGATGTTCGTCATCCTCAAAACCAAGAAAATTCAGCAACCAGGGATACACTTATTAATACAGTTTTTTCATAATAATTTAGGTATACAGGACATTTTATTTATTTTTTGTATAGTTTTTAATTTGTATTAGTTGATAGTTTTAAATTTTATATTTGGGATGAAATTTTAAAAATGAAGGTTAAGTGTGGGGTGGTTTGATTTGAGTTAAAAATTTACAAGTGCTTTGATAGTATGTTATCAAAAAACTAATAACTGTTGGCCTAAAATATGTAGTATAAATATTTTTATCAATAAATAAATGTTTTAAAATCTTTATTAAAAAAACCATATACCTAAGTAAAACCTTAACAAAATACTATTTTACAATTTGGTATGAATTTTATGCATTAAGTTCATTAAATTTTATTTTTTTAATTTTTAATTCTAATAATTCTCTTTCTTTTATTATTTCTTTAATTTCATTATCAATTTTTTTTCCTCTTAAATTTTCTTTTTCTGTTTCCTCCATAATTTTCAGGATATTTAATTTTTTTTCACTAATTTCTAATCTATTTTTTATCAAACTTGGCATTGATTTTTTATATTTTTGTGGTGTTTTTGCATCATCAAGTTTCTGTTTTTTGGGTACTGGTTCCTCTTCAATGGTTTCCGTTTGATCAGTTCCTTTAATCTCCTTTTTATGTTCCGTTCTTTTTAAATTTATTTCATTTTCTAAAAATGCTTCCTCTTCATCCTCCTCGTAAATTACCATAATATTCTCGTTTGTATCTTCAATATCCACCATCATTGGTTGAATACGGCTTGGTCCAGCTACATTTTCTGCAGCGTTCGAATCAAAATTGTTCGGAATAGTGAAAAAATTTTCTTCTAACATACTTAACACTTTTTCATCTTGACTAGTTACTTTTGAGGTGTAATTGCCTCCTCCAGTTTTAAAAACTTCAAGCTAAAAATAATTCTATTATCAGAAAAGTGCAAAACAAAATATAAATTAATAACTACCTTTTCATCTGACTTATGCTGTTTAGCAAGCTTCTTCATTTGCTCGTACAGACTTTTTAATTGCATCCCTGTCCTGAAACCACTCGTTTGGCTTGAGTTAAACTCCCAGGCCAGCTTTTCCCAGCACTCCTGCTTCTGTTTGTTAAATACCGCATTGTTTTTTTTGTTTTCTAAACATTTAAAATATTTTTGTACTAAAGATAATAAAATATCTTTTTCACGACTAGTAAAATTGGCACATCTTTTAATTTCTTTTTCCATTATAACTTAAACTAATAAAAGTCCAAACAAAACAATAATAATAAAATATCTACAAACACTATTTAACCTAATCTCCTAATCTAAACTAATAAAACTCGAAACACCAGGAACACTAAAAACTACTAATAATAAAAGATAGGAACACTATAGAAACTTGAATCAAAAATATAATATAATAACACTGCAATAAATGGGATTCTTGGCAAACGGTTCATTCAAAAGTATCAAAAATAATCAAAAAATAACCAAACCGAAGTTAGAGTCAAGTTATTACCAACATAGGAAACTAGTTATTTTTTATTAACAGACTGTTAATAAACCGATGCTCCATGTTTCATGATGAATACGGAAAATCACTATCAGACTGATAAGTCGTAACAGGCTGTTAGCTATCAGAGAGTTATAATAATAATGGTGAATACGGGGGTAAATCTCATATAGTTACCATTAGTTAATTTTTACTTATTAAAAACATTCACTTACAGCTTGCGACTACTTTAGTATAGTAAGTCCCAAACATCACCGATCCATCAACGAGCTAAGTCGTTTGATTTGATTTCTTATTTGTGTAGACTTGTTAAGACTTTTTGTATTGTCTTTCGTTCCGTAGGGTCACAGCTTACAGGGCAGGTTAGGTATTTTTCATGGGAAAAAGTATTAGATTTTAGCTCGAGAGCTAAAATCTAATATGTTTCCGTGTATAATGCATTATTTTTTTCTGTGACGGGAAAAAAGACGATTTAGTATTAAAAAAAATATTCTAAAATATCTACCTTTACAAGCATACATTAAAGTGCAAATGTGCCCGGCCATTGAGAACGCTCCGACACTGGTCGGGGCGTGGCCTATGTACCGCCAAATTCAAAATTATTATTTATGTAATTCTACGGAATTTATGTTTTATGAAAATATTTTTAGGCAGGTTTTGTGATATATTCAAATATTTTAAATTTTAGATAAAAAAAAGCTGCATTGCATACATACTGTAAATTATAGTGCGTTTATATTACTTTCACTTTAAAATAATGAGGGAGAGTTTCCATATTTTATGAACGCACTGTATAAATAATGTGATCATTAGAATTATTAATTAATATCTATTTTCTTACTTATTACTGATGGAAGTTATTTTTTATTTGTATATTTTTAAATAAACAAAACCAATAAGAGTGAAAATAAAAACGAATAAAATAGAGCATATATTTTTACTTGATTTATTTAAAACATTAAAATACAAATGTATTAAAGGTTTGTTCCAACAACAATTTTGGAACCGTACATAAACCAGTCCACAACTTATTGTCGACGACTGGAACTGAATTCGGAACATGGATGTGTTGGAACACATTTTCGTGTTGTCAGACATACTCTGTCAATAACGTCAAAGTCAAAACAAATTTAAAAAATATATATTAAATTGAATTGGGAAATAAAAAATTATAAAAATCATTAATTTATTTATAAATTTTGATTAATCGATTGGTTAATATATTAAACTTTATTTATTTTAATTTTTTACTATATTTAAAAGTGCCTTTCTCACTAAAGGCACTTTTCACTTTCGTCGCTCATTATTCATTATTAATAAGTCAACAGATTCACGTATACAATAATAAACTATAAAAATAATCATACCTAATGAATGAAAATCAAATTATGATCGATAAAATAACCCTTGGATCGAGACCACGACCGATACTATAAAAAAAACATTTCCAGAGTTGATCGTAATTTATTTACGAGCTTACTTTAATTTTGCGTATATCTTGACAATTTATTCCTATTCAGACCCAGGAACGCATTTGACAGTACAGAAACTTGTTTGTGATTAGGTTTTGGTATGTTGGAACACTAGGTTATTGTACAGTTTTGAGCCAGAAGTTTGTTGGAACACCAATTCTAGACTGCGCAGAATCCCGACAGTACGTAAACTGATTTTTTGTTGTTGTGTTGGAACAAACCTTAAAATTAATAATTAAAAAAAATGTGTATGTATATTTTTAATAAGAAATATTGTTAGATCCAAATTTCTTCGGTTTATCCATGTATTTCATCGATACAAATAATCCTTTTAAAGTTTCTTTTCCATAACATAATTAATATAACCCACTGCAAAATCTGTATCCTTTAATCCAGGGTAACTTTCACCTGAAAATAAAAACCTTCTCCATCTACACCTTAACCCTATCAAAAATTGTTTATTTTTAAAAGTATTTTTACGTACATACCTACCAGTTTTTTTGAATAAAAATGACTGGTTTTTTCTTTGCCTGTTCCATTCTTCAATTTTCTTAGTTGTAGCTGTCATATCATCAAAGTTCATATTTTGTCAATAGTATACCTCCTTATTAAATATGATGTCTTCTCTTCTTATCAAAATTTTTTCTATTGTATTATTTTGGATTTTTCTGGCATCTTGAATTATCCTGTTTGTCACCCCTACAGCTATTTGTCCGACTACAATATGTTCTTCAGCATTTGACAGTCGCATTGTTCTTAGCTCATCTGCATGTCGGACATGAGTTTAAAGAAATTTTATTTAAACTAATACTAATAAAAAATATTAATAAAATTAACAATATTAAAATAATTAAATGAATACTACTAATTACCATTTTTTAAGGCTCACTAGAATTCATATTCCTCTAATGCGAATACTCCCCCTTAGATTTCATATTTCAGACACATGAGCTACTGAATCCTAAAAATAAATGTATGAAAAACACGTTTAACATGTAAAAATTGGTACAACCATTGAAATTACTTCTATTACAATTGAAATATGCGTTCTTCACCTATTAACTATAATTAACCATAATTAACTTCCCTATTTTCCTGTGCTCTCCAAGATGTAAATACTTCAAAATTCCTAAAATTTAAAAGAGATTTCTTAATAGTTATATGGTCAATATCAAGCAAGTATATCTTTAAATATTTATTATAATAAGAAAAATTCTCTATATTGCTACATATTGGACATATATGTTTATTTTGTTCCTGTTCAGTAGATTCTTGGTGAAATTTCCTGTTTCTGGTAGATGTAGGTACTTGAAAATCAAATTTCACACAATTCACAAAATAATGTTTAGTTTATGTTCAAATTTAAAAATGAGGAAAAGATACGTAAATTAATTGGTGAATTTCAAAATCACTATAAAACTAACCCAATAAAATTATTTATTGTTTCGGCCTTTACTTGATGAAAATCCATTTAATCTTGAAAGAGTAAAACCAAATTTGGTAGATTTTCACACTTTTATTTTAAAAATATAAAAATTTTTAAAAACATGACATATTATGTTTGGAAGTACAAATTCTTTTTCAAATGTGACTAATTTACACTTCGGTATCCAATATATATACGAAATAATTTAACAAAACAAAGTACTTAAGAAAAACATCAATAACATTACAAAATAAACTAACTATTTAAAGTAAATAAGGGTACTTAGGTAATTATAATATCAATCGGATAACAATAAGATAGCACATTACCGGGATTATCTCACAGAAAACTAGGAAAGAGATTTAATAAGGGTGAATTATTAATATCTAATTGATCATTTAGTAAGTTATCTGAATTTTTAAATCTATTTATTTCAAGTGTTTCTAAATGGTTTAATTTAAGGCTCTTATTTTCTATATGTAAAATTTCAAAGTTATCTGTAAAAGAATTATTTTCGGCTAAAATATGGTTTGAGTAAGTAGAATTATTTTTGTTTTTTGTATAGCTATTATAATGTTCGGAATAGCGTTTATTGAAAGTACGGCCTGTTTGACCAATATACAATTTTAGACAACTACCACAATTTAATTTATATACCCCCGATTTATTATTAAGATTAATTTTACCCTTATTGTTTTTAATATACTTCCCAAGCGTATTATTGGTTTTAAAAGCTACGTTAATATTTTGGTTTTTTAAATATGATGATACCTTTTCACTGGGAGCTCCTATATATGTAAGACTCTTATATCTGCAATTTTGATCTTTAATTATGGAATAAACTTGTTGAATAGCCTGTTTAAAAAGTTTTTTCTCTAAAATGTTGTCTACTAACTTTGAATTAAAATTATTATTTACTGAGATTTGTTTAATGATATTTAATTCTTTTGTAGTAAATATAAAAATAATCAATTATAGTTGCTGTTGTATTTATTTTTTTTTAACTCTTATATGCACTTAAAAAAATTATACAAACTATAAGATGTATAGATTTAGATTATCGTGAGTAAATACATAGTATATTATGCAACGATCATTTAATGATAGCTATTAAGAGTATGAGAATTACGACACGAGCCTTGGCGAGTGTCGTAATGAATACGAGTGTCTTAATAGCCGTTAAATGTGAGATGTATACACTATTTTTTCTACGACCATTAAATTATAATGAAGAAAAATTTATTAAACTTATAGAGGAAGAACTAAATAAACATCAAAACGTTATCCCAAACAAACATGGAAATCAAGATTTAACTAATAAAGGAAATATTAGAATTATTCATTTGTATACTATTTTTGATTTATGGTATATTTATTAAAATGCAACTGCGGTACTTCAGGCAGTTTTGTAGCAATATTGTTTAATGCCGTTATTGATACTAATGGAATATTATTTATTGAATTGCTGGTTTGACTATTTTTAATTAAATTCAAAATTTTATTACCTACGTTGATTTTATTTTGAATAGATTCGTCAATGTAGCTTTTAGCTACAGCTGTGGATTTCCACCGTGACGTTTTAATGTGGTGATATCACCACCGGCATCCACGAATATTGTCGTAGAACTGCGGCGAAAGCGGTGTCCGGTATATAAATTCGGGTCCGGAAGAATTATGTAAGTAGCAATTTCTTTCCCCAAGTCTCCAAATTTATTTATTCCTACGTTTTGTATTGTGCTTTTTTCTTTTATGTAATTGATAAAAAAAGATGCGGTTATACAATTTTTTGAACGATGATTCATGAACTTCTTACATATTTCATAATAGTTTCTTGTAACTGTGAATTTTCGTGTTGTTTTTGTATCTTTAATTGTGACTCACAGGTTTAATAGAAAATCATCTACTTCTCTAAACTCCAACTTGTGCCGCTCGTGTCTTCTGCAAGCTCCCATAATACCAAAGTTACATGCCAC